TTTTTTCAGAGTCAATTTTTAAGCTAGAATGCTCATCTTCGAACTCGATCTGTCTTTTTGTGATACAAAACGAACCTGAAATTCCCAGATCGCTCCCTCAATTCTTTTTCGAGTTATCGTGCGGACAGACAAACAAACAGACAGACAGACTAACAGACAAACAGAATGAAACTTTTCCGGTCAGTGGAGTAATGGGCTTCGCTAATCGCTCAGCCAACAAAAGGAAAGGGCTTTTTGATTATAATACGGAACACTTTCAATTTATTGGCGCTCGAGTCTGGTTTTCCGGAAAATTAAATACATACGTCGCCGCTAACCTTCAGACGGACTTTGAAGACGACAGAATAACTTACGTTTATGGCTGGTCTTGACATTGATTGGTCCGGCTGGGGTTTTTACAACATTGCTCATGCATGAAAGACTACGCCTGATTCAAAACATCAGGCTTTCTTCCGCTTTCTTCTGGGATTTTGTAATAGTTAAAAAGAAGGGAAAATTCATTCGAGGAAATTTATTCGAAAACGGGCAGCTATATAGCAGCTACTGTTCGAAACGTTCAACGCAAGATTTATAGTTAAATAGAAGGGTAAATTCATTGGAGGACGGGCAGCCACGAACTTCCTATATCCGGTTGGTACCACTGTAAACCCGCGCCTGCACCCCTCTGGACTGCCCATTGTTGTTGGCAACTGCACCCGCGTCCGCCCGAGTGCCTCACCGGTACGTAGCCTCGCAGGAGACGGCACTCGGTCCCCTTTCAGGGTAGGACCCCACCGAGCAGAAGGCATTTTTGGAGAAGCGTGGAAACTGTGATTTAAGCAACGGTAGAGAAAGAAAGCCTGATATTTTGAATCAGGCGTAGTCTTTCATGCATGAGCAACGTTGTAAAAACCCCAGCCGGCCCCATCAATGCCAAGACTAGCCGTAAACGTAAGTTATTCTGTCGTCTTCAAAGTCCGTCTGAAGGTTAGCGGCGACGTATGTATATTTTTAATTTTTCGGAAAACCAGACTCGAGCGCCAATAAATTGAAAGTGTTCCGTATTATAATCAAAAAGCCCTTTCCAATGGTATAGAAGAGTGACTCATCGGCTCTGAGTCACTGTTGTATACTATTACCGAAATGTCTGAGTGGCTGGCTGCATGGGTCCGTAATTTATCAGATAAGCACCTCATAACGTTTTGTTATTCGTTAATGTTACACTCGTGTATGTGTTAGCCGATGCATGCATATATTTAATCGTTCATGAAACACATATTTTTTGGAGTAGGGGGGCGTTCTTCGCATCGAAATGAACCGGAAAGTCTGTTCTTTAAATCGGTATAAAAGCTTTGCTTGCGCGATCAGAAACTATTTGTTATATCGAGGTTAAGGTGGAGAGATGATTCAGAGGAGAGCCAGCCGCGCGCAGCGGAGTAAAAATAGTCCCCGTTTGAGTGGTTATATCTATTTATCCAGGACAAGAAGGCCCAAAACGAGCTTCCAACATGGTACAGTGGTCCTTTGGGAATAAAAGAATGATATTGGTAACTGTCTTAACGCAATTTGGCATTTTTGACTTATGACCAGCTGCCACTGTGCACCGTAACCAGCATCGTTTTGTCCTTCAGAAAACCACCGATGACCAAAATCCGTGTTCTGACCCTGGATTTTGGGCCAAGCTAACCTGTGATGCCATCAGTGTGTCTTAAGTCGCCCTAAACAACAGTCCTACCTTTTCTCCAAAAGAAGTTTGTAATTTCAGATAAATTTTGGTCGTGCGTGCTAGGCGTGCACTTAAAAAGCGAAGCGTTACCTTGAGATAAAACCTGTGTGGTCGTTTGGAGTATCTTCAACTTTCATCCACCAATCATACTCCGGTACAGCACTGGTATACCCATAAAACGTAGGCACGTAAGTCGAGGGCTCTTGTTCAGGCCCTGCTTCAAGAAGCAACACCTGAAAGAGGATAAAAAGTTTAGCGGTAGACCAAGGTAGACACAGCAGGACAAATTCATGAGTGCTAAAGATTTTAAAAAGCAGGAAGACAAAAATTATTCAACTACAACTCAAAAGCGATGGACAAATTCTAACAAGGAAGATGTGCGCCAGACCACGTCTCGCGTATCAGGCTTCGCGACATCTCACGGAACACCGTCACGCTGCGACGGGCCTGGCATACATCTGGCTTGCGGCGCCGACGCCCAACTCGAGTAATGAAAAATGTAGACAAAGATATGGGCCTACGGCTGGCCATTTTCGTTTAGCGTGCAGGGTTGTAATTTTTTCGGTTCTTTTTGCCACAAATAACCTCTAGCGCCTCAACAGTATGAGCTAGAGCAAAACAAAGGTCTCTATTATGATGTGTTACCCCTTAAAAAAACTGTATTTTTTGAAAGAAAATCAAAAAACGTTATTATTGGGTTTCATTGTTTTCGATGTTTTTAAAATTAAACTTTTGAGCTAGAATGCTCATCTTTGAACTCGATATGTCTTTTTATGGTGCAAAACGACCCTTAAATCTCAAGTCGCTAGCTCTTTTCGTTCTCGAATTTCGTGTGGATACACAAACACACACACACACAGAAAAAGTTTTTGCCGACCAGACGGAGATTAGGCTTCGCTAATCGCGCAGAATAAATTAATTACTTTTTGGACCATGGCACACTGCATTTTCAGACCAAGTAACAGGATCTAGGACAATTCACCCCATCACGTCCCCCGTCCAAGTCGTCCCATGCCGTTCTAGGTCACGCCCTTTTCAGTCCAGGCTAACTCGTCCTCAAGCCTCACGGAAAATTTAAACTTTTTGACAAAGAAAGGAAAGAATGTATTTTATAGGGAAAAATGGAAAAATTAAAAAAATTAACCTTTCAGTCTATACGGCTATAAGATCGAATTATTGATGATTTTGTGATTGTCAATGCTCCAATGGCGAATGAGCAAAAGCCAGTATAGGTTGCAAAAAACAGAACTCATTTTCATAAAACAGTAATTGAAAAGCTGTCCAATAAATTATCGGTCTATATTTTGAAAATTAAACCGTCTGTTTTACGGCTACCCTTCATCCTATTAACAGGCATAGGCTGCTTACAAGGCTTGGTCCTCTCACCTAGACTATTTTGACCCAACATCTGACTGACCCAAAGTCCATTCACTTCGAGTCTATTCACTCAAGGTCTGTTCATCCTTGATTTTACCTCACTCATACAAATCACCCACAAATACATCAAATCCGAGACTTGCTACCTCCATAATTTATCACAAACAATTGAAAATCAATGTCCCGTGATATTAGCACAGTGTTAACGAAATATCTTATAGCGTCAAGGAGCAAAATATTTGAAAATAGACTATTTTCGCGAATTGGTAAGCAGAAAACATTGAACCAAAAAGTGCTTGATGCAGAACTCGAGAACAGATTGTAAATCACATTTTATCACTTTTGTCACTTACGCTCAAGGACTGAATAATTTTTTTCTGTCCTAAATGTTATCAAATTTTGACACATGAGGATGTTTAAGGCCCATTTACGATCGTTTTTCTTGGTTAATATGAAAATTCCGTAGCATTGGTTTCTGTGGTAGCACTTACGATCTAGCCTTGGCTTAAATAAAATTCTTAGTAAGTATAAACGGCTCGCTTAGTGAGAATCTCCATCGGGATGAAAAATAAAATTTGTGCTAGCCTTTTGGTTAAAATTGATCCTTAAATTTTATGCGGCCTAGGGCGCGAAGTTCGAACTAGCCATTGAGAATGGTGGAAACGCCAAACAAACATGGCGACGGTGGCAAGAATTGTTCTTAAACTCGGAAACATGCGGAAACGATCGAAAATGCCTCTCCGCGAAAACCCCTTACAGTAATGACAAAACCGCCTTCGCTTAAATAAAACCAAATTTATTTTAAATAATCCAAAACGATCGTAAATGGGCCTTTACAGTATCTTTTTTCGGTCCAACCGGCGGCGTAGATAAGATACTCTGAAAATTTCAAGTCTCTAGCCCATCTTCTAGTGGAACAGACAGACACTGTAGCGTGGAAGCTACAGGGAAGTCCTGAGGTGGCTGAGCGCGGGGTAGCTTCAGCCTCTAGACGGGAGATACTCCGAGCGCAAGGCGCATTCGCCCGGTTTGGCCACCATGAGCGCTGAGGCGCGCGGGTTCGCGGGCTGAGGGCGGGGAGGGAGATCTGCTGGGAGCTCGGGAAAGAAGAAAAGCTCTCTTTCGTTTTGCACTGCTGCACGGCTTGGACGGGTTGACAGCCGGTCAGGCTTCGCCACGAGGGTCACCTAAGTCGACACCCGGAGTACTTGATAGTGGCGTGCTTAACACCTTCTGTTTTCCCGGTAAGCCGCAAGCTGTGTGGGCCTCTTAACCTCAACCGTCGCTATAGTCTGTGCTGTCATTGTCATGTGTCCGGCTCTTACTTACAGGGTGTTTGCTGGTAGTTTATACCATGTGTCTAGCCAGAGTGCTACTGAGCGTGATGTCCGGCTAAATGCCTCGGCGTGTCGCCGTCCCGGCGGCGATGAACTGGAGTTGAGATGGGAGTACTGCCACACCACCTCTGCAGACTCTCAAGCCACCTGTTTGTGATATCCATCACCTATATGGATCTCAGAAAGTAAGCACCACTCCGCCTCCGCCGTTTCTCCTCCAAATTAAACAATATGAGTAATGTTCTTGAGCGCTGGGCGCTGTCATATTGTTGTCTGTGCATTTGGCACTCGGTTCAAGTTATGATGTCTACCACTCTGTGACCCCCGTTGAGGTGTTGAGTCTGTATGCTTCACCTCTGGGTCCTCGTGGCTAGAAGTGGCCTAAGGGAAACTTTCTGGAGTCTAGGTTAAGTGTGCCATGTTTCGTGGCACACTCAGGCCCCAGGAGTGACCCTGAACTGCTTTTAGTCACGGGGATCCATGTGTATGTATTTTGGAGATTGTACGGCACAATATGAGTAGATCTATTATGATACTTTGTTTGTTGTATCTATGGAGACCACGAGTCCTCTATTTTGTACTATGTATTTGAATGTCTGCCGTACCCAGCTTGAATTACTGTTTCTCGCCATGTGATTGTTTTTCTCACTTATTAAATTTTATATCATCTTATTAAGTACACACTGCCTAGCTTGAGTTATTTTGAGGAGAGTGTAAACTCTCTGGCGCCCTAACTAAAATTTACTCAGGATGCTCACGCCCTCTCTACCACTTATTAATGCACTGGTGCTGTCGGGCACAACATAAAGCTATAACACACAGACGCGAGGTCGTTTGCATAAGCCTCCTGGAAACCTTTTTTAAACCAGAAGGGCGGGCTAAAACCTTTTTCTTTCTTTTTTCCATTTTTTCCGCAACTTTTTCAGTTTTTTTTCCAGCCTCTAAATCCCAAATTTTCTGTTTCTGGCGCTTAAAATGCATTCATCGCAGTTCGGACCAGTGCGGACATCGTATTAACAATACACATTTGGGTCGCCTCCTACTAGGACTGGCTCCCTTGACTAGTAGCGCCTTGTCAGCTGATATGGAACGCGCGTACTCATACCTGCCAGTCAGCGACCTCGGATAGACGGCTGGCCACAACGGCACCCGCTGACCCACCACCAACCACAATGAAGTCGACCTCTCCTGGTGCTGTAGCCGGAGTTGTAGGTGCGTCGAAGTGAACCGCGCTCATGATGAGCGACAGGAAGGACGCGGCAGCAATGCATTGCGCTGTGGAAATTAAACAAATATGCAAGACGCGTCTGGAGAAAACAATTCAAAGTTTCTGTGTTAAAACATAGCACCAGTTTGAAGGGTGAGCGGTACACTGTTACAAATGGTTGTCAAAGAAACAAGTTGGAAATGAGACAGCTGTTAATAAACAACAAATGTTGTTTTCATTTTACCCCTTGGAAAACTTTTATTATTGCTTTGAGTATTGGCTCATTACAGAAACTACTTGGTATTACTTTGCTGCACCCTGATGAGCCGTTGGACAGCTCACGGATTTTAGCTACGTACTAGTTGAGGACAACTTGAGATGTCGACTGGTATGTCAAACCCGCCGCCGCAAGCGCGTAATTAAAACAAGCAGGCCCGGCCCCTGCTGAATGGAGTTGCCGGTGGAGCGAAGCGGAGCTGGCAACTTCGTTTGGCGGAAGGGCGGGCCTGCTTGTTAGGCCTTTGTCTACAACTTATTGTTCACTATGGCAATTGTTAGCTTACTTTCGTCAAAAAAAAGACCCTCTAGCGCCTTAACGGTTAGAGATAGAGGAAAACGGACGAAATTTTCGCCCCAAAAGATCTCTACTTTCACGGAGTACCCCCCCCTTAGCACATTAAAGAATGTACTTTTATGGGAGAATTTTTGAACCTTGGATACCCCTTTTCACACCCTTAGGGGTGGTTGCCAGGATTTGCCGCAGGCGTTTCGTTCTCTAAGAGTGGACCTTAAGATACCCTGAAAATTTCAAGTGTGTAGCACATCTTCTAGTAGAACAGACAGACAGACAGACACGAGGTCGTTTGCATAAGCCCGCTGGATAGCTTTTTCAAAGCAGAAGGGCGGGCTAAAAAAAAACACACACACAAAAAAGCATTTGACTACCTGTATCGCTACAAACTGAGCCATTCGAATTTCCGCAAACAACCTAATGTAACGCATTCATGCAGGCATTACTTAGTTCAAAAACAATAGATGACTTTTGATCAAATGCTTTTTAACGGGTGGGGGGTATTCGGAATGAAAGTCCAGAGTCTTTTAAGAGCGATGTATTCACATTAAGCGCTGGTCACGGTGTGGCGCCGAGTCAAAGCTGGCGCCTGCTTGTATAGGGTTTTGCGAGGAAGGACACAAAGAAGAAAACGTAAAGGGTTCAAGAAGAACTGAAAGAGGAATGTTATAGGTAGCGACCTAGTCGAGGGGTCTGCCGATAGAATGCGAGTGATTGTGGAGTGTGACTGACTCGACTGAACCACGGACTGGACTTGAACAATATAGTTCTGAAAATTATTAGAGGTCACTGTCACTACACTATTTACTTTCACATCTATATTTTTTTTTAATACAAAATAAAAATATTACAAAGTTTGAATTATTTTGACCAATTGGATCCCTACGAAACGATGCCATCTCACATTTAAAACTAATTTTATAATTTAAATAATAAAATAAATCAGAGGGGACGCTCCAAACGGGGGGCCCTCCAGATGTCTACCTGTTGTAAATCCAAAATAATAGTAATAGTCTTAAATTCACGAACTTTCTTCACACTGCTTTATTTTATGGAAAGGTTTAGTGCAGGAAAGCACCAGCCATAAAAAAGGCGCCAATAACTGCGAGGTTTTCTTTTCACAGGTTGGCACGGTTGGCACTAGTAGTCTACGAGGATAGTCTCTCTGAGAACATTGAGTATTTAAGTCGGCGACCCCATGATGTGATGGTTTTATCAATACCTGCCATGTTGAAGCCGGGCAGACTGCAGTGAAATGACACGTAAAAGGTTTGGAGAGCACTCTATATGTACTGTTTCAGTGCCGGTGCACTGGCAACTCACGCATATCTTCGAATCTTCATCCGCAAATACCCACTTCCATTTGGTGATATGGCATTTTCTCAAGAAGCAGATGTGCACTGAACTGAAGTGAGGGTACTCACTACTTCGTGTCATTGATCATTCGAAAGATGAATAGCGAGAATGTCGGTCACTCAGAGATGGATAAAAGAAGACGTGCAAACTGACAGAACACGTCGCAAAAGAGTTCTTAATATGCATTGGCAAATAAAGCATTCCAGTGAAGCTGAACAGAAGAATGCGGGAACCAAAAAAATGGAAGTCGCCATGCTATAGTGTAGTGATATCCGTTTTGTTGTTCCCCTCATTCTTCTTTTCAGTTTTACCGGAATGCCTCACTAACGCAATCAGAACCTTCGGAAAATTGTCAAAAATGAGAATGCGATAGACGTACAAAAGGTACTCGTAACATTTCAAGATTACACCGATATAATATAATATTCAAAACGAAATTCGGGTATTTGTAAAGAATTTGCTGCTTACTTAGGCAGTATCGCAAAACGTCTACGACGCACGGCTTCAATCAATAAGAATGCGGCAAACAAGCAAGCGGAAAGCCCATATGTTACAGTATAACACCTTTCGCTTCTTCTTTGTTTTATTTGAGCACTCTGACACCGATGCAAGTTGCTGGGTAACTTCAGGAATGGGCCGGCCAGCGACTTTCAGGGTCATCACTTCAAAGTATTCAAAACAGGACTTCCCGTATGGCTTGCTTTAGGATTATTCTGTGATAAGTTTGTCGTTTGATAACGACATACGGACGTCAAACGTAGGACGAACAAACGCCGAAAGTACGACACAGGAACTGCCAAAAAAAAAACAAAAAAAAAAAAACGACAAACCGAGTTATCGTAGGTTTGTCGTTTTTAGTATGGGAATTTTGTCTGTAAAACGACACTTTTCACGCAAAAATAATGACTAACAAACTACTAGGTAGATGTACGCCAGACCACGTCTCGCGTAACAGGATTCGCGATATCTCACGAAACACTGTTGCGCTGCCACGCGCCTGGCATACATACATCTACCTAGGCCTGCGGCGCTGACACCCGAGTCGGGTAGCGCAAAAATGTACACAAAGACACGGGCCGGCCGGCCCGTCAACATCCCGTCACTTCGACTAAGCATGCAGGGTTGTACATTTTTTAGGCCCCCCCAAGGGGGCCTTTCTGCTCGCGTGCGAGTGAATTCTTTTTTTCTTTCCCTCATTCATTAAGGTACCGCGACTTCTGTTGAACAGATTTTAATAAAATTTTATCGAAAAATCAATCCAAAAATTTGATTTCATTTGACTATAGCCTCATTAAAATCCTTCTGGCCAATTTTGAGAAAATTACAGTTAAACATCGAAATTATCACGAAAATCGGCACTTCTAGCATTCTTTCTGTTAATCCCTGCGGCTTACATTTTCACTTAACAGTAAAACATATGAGACAAAAATTCAAGAACGAACATTAAGTCGAACCTGTGACTGAGCGGTCCAGAACCCGACGCCCGAACACGCTTGGCCAAAGCGAATAAAGCATTCCGGTAAAGCTGAAATGGTGAAGAATGCGGGGAACAAGAAAACGGAAGTCACCATGTTTAAGGATAGCGATTTCCGTTTTCCTGTTCCCCGCATTCTTCTGCATTTCAGCTTTACCGGAATGCTTTATTAGCAGTGCGTGCGGGTGTTCCCTCTAGTGCTGCAGCAGGCATGGCTGCGACTTTGGATTACCATCACGCCCCGATCAGAGTGTTGTACTATCTGTGATCTCGTCAAAGGACCACCGCCGTGGGCTGATGATGCCACACGACCTCCGCTACCGTGCTTTACAACGGTTAATGCCTTTTCGGTTGTTCCATTTTGTACAAACACTCACGTTTGTGGTGACAGTCGCAGATGCCTGCTGCAGCACTAGAGGGAACACCCGCACGCCTCCTACCACGAATCCGCTTTGGCCAAGCGTGTTCGGGCGGCGGGTTCTGGACCGCTCAGTCACAGGTTCGACTCCCGTCCGGCCTGCAGTGGTATAAAAATCTAGACACCACTGTCTAAATTTATAGGGTATTGGTCTAGAGCGCTGAGCGGAAGTAGAACAAAAACGGAAGACGGAAAGGCGCCCGCACTCCTCCCCGCCTGCCCTCCACTTCTCCCCGGGCGCTCCCCCACTCCGCCCCGTTTAGGAGAGGGGGTCGGCCCGGGCGCCTTTCCACCTTCCGTTTTTGTTCTTCTACTTCCGCTCAGCGCTCTAGACCAATACCCTATTGATGTCCTGTGCACGCCTGCCGTCCCGTCCCTTTTGTGTCATAAGACGAGCCGCCGGGTCAACATTAGGCAAGGGAATTCTGCGAAGAATTTCCTCTACATTTGGACCGATGACCACCCGTTCCAAGGGCAACTATGGAAAAAAATATATTTTATTATTGTGTATAGGAGTCAGTATTATTTTAAATGAGTAAGAGCTTATCAAGAAATGAGGATGTGTTACATCAATAGTTGCCATAGAATCCAGCACGTTTCCCCTCAAACAACTTTTTAGTAAATTTGAAAGATTGGCGTACTAACTTCCCTTGTGGATATAAAACTGAATATGTTAGGCGACAGACGCCTAAATTTCCTGCAATGACATGTTTGGAGGTTAACTCATTCAAATATATTATAGAAGCTATAGGAGCTTCGAGGAACATATATTTCAGATTTGATTGCCCTTCAACTAAAATAATGCATCTCTACAGGGTAATAGGGTGTTCCAGGCTATCTGAAACGGAAGTGAAAAAGAACACGCTCACTGATTTACCTGTTTCCGTCCGCCCAGTATGAGAAACTTCCATGGTAGTTTGGTCCGATCCGAACCTCTCAAATATGGAGGGGAGGTCGGAACTGATCTGACAGTTTCTCATACCTGAAAGGCGTGATTAGCTCGACCAATCAGAGCCCTTACGGAAACAGAAAGGTCAGTGAGTTTGTTCTTTTCGTACTTCCGTTGTAGATTGTCTGGAACACCCTATTCGGACCACCCAGGATGGTTCGCACAGCTGGGTACGCCGAGCGACGGCGTCGGGAGTATTCCAAAGTATCTCTACAGAAAGCGCCCCAACTCTGCAAGGAAAACCAGAACATCGCAAGGCTGCAACTACGTATGGAATATACCGTCAAAGTGTCATATTCCGGACAAATTTGACCGTTTTTCCTCAATATTTCTAAAACCGGTAGGGGTATGAAAAATAACCGCGGATTCTAGAAACTAGGCGCCAAGATACATATTTTCCATCTGGAGAGGAAATTTTCTTTGCGCCAGTTCACCTGCACAAGCCTCTGAAACCCCGCCCGGATTTAAACCCGAAACCGGGGCAAACCGGACAGTCCCTATTTTTGCTATTAAATGGCAGTAGAACAGGTCGATATGCCAACACTGCACTGCAGCTGCGTGCCAGTATACACCAACTTAACCCGTAACCGCGGACCCAGAGTGATATTGAAATTTTCGAGGCAAAATTGGTCCATTTCAGAAGTTAAGCAACTTCTGCAGAAGTCAGTGCTATTTTGGTAGAAGGACACTGGTTTCGCAAAATACGCCATAAGAATGTGTACAACAATCTTTACCTCACAGGACTTTGTCAAAATTGAAAATTTTGTGCATTTTTAACTAAGATTTGTAGCTGACAGATCGAGTGAAATACCGTACAATCAATATTACGCGCAAAAGTCCGCAGGATATTAAAAAGTTTCGACTCCAGCGTAGTGACGTTAAAGCTGTATCTAGTGACCGTGGCTTAGCATAGGTGCTATTGGTGCTATGCGGCACACGCATTGAAGTACCGCTTCACAGTGTGTGCACTGGTCGGGTCCTATTATTCAACCCTCGTAACACATAACTGTCGTACGACAGTCGGACAACAGTAGAACAAGCTGGGCCCGCTCTTCCGCCAAACCAAGTTGCCAGCTCCGCTTCGCTCCACCGGCAACTCGGTTCGGCAGGGAGCGGGCCCAGCTTGGCCTGCCGGCGGCGTTTGGGACGGGCCTTCGGCCCGTCCCTTCTGAATTTTTATGGTGTAATACATCTTCGATCCGAAAACGGGCCTTCGGGCCGTTTGAGTGACGGCTCGCTTCGTACCATCTTTTTGCCAGGTACCTTTTCTGTCTGCTTCGTAAGTAAAACTCAACAAACGAAGTATTCTTTTCATACGCTGAACATCTTTGGCTGTGTGGGCCGCAGTTTGTGGATACATCCAAGTTATGCCGAAATTTTAAGTTATTGATGTTAGCTTATGAATCCGATAAGACACCTATGAAAATGTACATAAGACTAGACCTAGAAGTTAAATATACTTCCAGGCATACTCTGAATGACACAGAACGTGTTCAAACAACAAAAAACTAAATGTGTTTTTTTTTGTGGTTTTTTGCATGAAAGTGTACACGTTTTATTAATGATGTGCCACCATAAAATAAGCCCACTCTTCTGCTTAGAAGAAAATTTTGAACCGGCCGCATACTTCTCAGACAGAAGTGTACTTCTGAAAAAATAAAAATATTTCTGTTTTGGCCATTTTGGTGAGAGAAACTCCATCTATCGCCTAAACGGTGAGAGATAGAGCCAAGCGGACGAAATTTTAACCCACAGGACTCTATTTTCACAAGTTACCCCCTAGGAAACCATCAAATATCTTCTAAACTTAATATATTGTTTCGGGGTCACTTTTGTCAGAAAAACTCCCTCTAGCGCCGAAACGGTGAGAGATAGAGCCAGACGGACGAAATTTTAGCCCATAGGGTTCTACTCTCCCAAGGTTACCCCGTAGGAAACCATCAAATATTTTCTAAGCTTAATCTATTGTTTTGGGGCCACTTTTGTCAGAAAAACTCCCTCTAGCGCCTAAACGGTGAGAGATAGAGCGAAACGGACGAAATTTTAGCCCAAAAGGGCTCTACTTTCACGAGTTACCCCTTAGGAGACAATAAATAAATATTTTTTTCCCACTTCTCGGACCAACCCCTATTTCTTTGTTACCCCCTCAGACCCACTCAGGGGTGGTTGCAAGGATTTGCACCAACCGTTTCGTTGTCCAGAAGTGACAACAATAATACCCTGAAAATTTCAGACCTCTAGCTCACGTCTTTCTTGGGGAACGGACAGACGGACAGACAGACAGACACAGAGGCGATGGCATAAGCCCGCTTATTGGCTGAGCGATAGCGAAGCCTATTACTCCAGTGATGATCAAAAAGTTTCGCGTCTGTCTGTGTGTGTCTGTCTGTCTGTTTATCTGTACGCACGATAACTCGAGAACGAATTGAGCTAGCGACCTGGGATTTTCAGGGTCGTTTTGTATCATCAAAAGACAGATCGAGTTCGAAGAAGAGCATCCTAGCTCAAAAATTGGATTTTAAAAAAATTGAAAACCACAGGTCCCCAAAATGACATTTTTTAAAGATTTTTTTAAATGTTTTCTTAGGGGTAACTCATCAAAGTAGAGCCCTTTGGGCGAAAATTTCATCCGTTTGGCTCTATCTCTAACCGTAGAGGCGCTAGAGGGTGTTTTTGACGAAAATAAGCGAAAAAATGTACAACCCTGCATGCTTAGTCAAAGTGACGGGCCGTTGACAGGCCGGAGGCCCGTATCTTTGGGTACACTTTTGCACTACCCGACTCGGGTGTCAGCGCCGCAGGCCTAGGTAGATGCATGCCAGGCGCGTCGCAGCGTAACAGTGTTTCGTGAGATATCGCGAAGCCTGTTACGCGAGACGTGGTCTGGCGTACATCTACCTAGTATAGCTTTTAAGCAAAAGAGCGGGCTAAAAACAGTAAACAAATGCGAAAGAGACAGATCGTTCCACCATTATTAAATAGATACTCACAGTGGCGCTGGTATAGAGCATTTCTGTTGGCTTGAATGATTTATCGGGTGCTCCACCCCCCTTCTGTAGTCCCGTTTCTGGTAATAAAGCATTCCGGTAAAGCTGAAATGCAGAAGAATGTAGGGAACAAGAAAACGGGAGTCGCCACGTTGAAGCACGTTGAAGCATGGCGATTTCCGTTTTCTTCTTCCCCGCATTCTTCTGCATTTAAGCTTTACCGGAATGCTTTATTGCCGACAGCATAGGACTTTGCAGTGTTTCGCATGGTTGTCCAAGACAGTGGGAGATAAGGTTACAGCTTAAACTGCTGTTAAATTGGGGTTAAGCAAAGCGTTTTAGTTAAATAAGAGTTAACCTTCCACCACTTGGTACCACTTCGGGCTGCTCCTTTTTCCTTGTTAAGAACTTCAGCTAGACGATCATGCATCTTTTGCATTGCCTTGTTGGCATGCTTACCCTGAATGCGACCAACTGCATAATTTTTATGCCTCAGCATAAAATTCACCATAGCTATTTTAGGCGCATGCGTGATTGGAGGTAACTTTAATGCAGAAGTGGTTTTTCCTGTCTTGGATTTATGAGGAGGCGAATGATCGTCATCTTCATCTCTGGTCCGCAGCTTTTGTGACTTCAGTAATAGGGTATTTCGGGTAAGCGGAGCGGCGGAAACGGAACCGGCCAGCTGGTTGCATCTCTGCTGCTGATGCGAGGGGGAGAGGGAGAGGCGGCGGGGCGGCGCAGAGTCTACTGCGCATGTGCAGTTCGCAGGCTGAGACGGATCCAGCAGCCGCTCGGCCGTTCCGTTTCCGCTGCTTCGCTTACCCGAAATACCCTATTGAGGCATCCTTGGAACCAAAATAAAAACAGAATGTAGACAATGTAGACTGATATTGCAAAAGCAGCAGTATTTGAGGTTGGCAACCAACGAATATTTTTGGCTGAGCGATTAGCGAAGCCTATTATACTCCACTGATGATGAAAAAGTTTCGCGTCTGTTTGTCTGTCTGTCTATTTGTCTGTACGCACGATAACTCGAGAACGAATTGAGCTAGCGGCCTGGGATTTTCAGGGTCGTTTTGTATCATAAAAAGATAGATTGAGTTCGAAGAAGAGCATCCCAGCTCGAAAATTGGATTTAAAAAAAATCAAAAACCACAGGTCCCCAAAATGACGTTTTTTAAAATATTTTATTTTATTGTTTCTTAAGGGGTTACTCTTTGGCTCGCTCGCTTGTTTGTTCGTTCTCCCGCTCGCTCGCTTCCGATTCGCTTCGCTGCCCGGTTCGCTCGCTCCGTTGCGTTCTCTACCCTGCTCTCCAGAAGCCCTTCAGCAGGGCTATCAAGGGGCTCGCTCGGCCGAGGGACCCCGGGGCGCGTCGTCTAGACGGGGCTAGACGGGGTTCCGTTCCACTCGTTCCCTTTGTTCTCCCCGACGCGCTGTTGCCAGATTGTCTCCCCCCCACTCCTCCGGCACTGGCCGCATGACGAGACCGGCTCCCCCAGCCGCGCTTACTGCTGTGTTGTGATTTTTGTCTTCCGGCTTTCGTGAGGTTTGAATCGGTAAAATTTGATCTGTCTTCGACTGCTCTTTGTCTGCCACACTGTCCTCTCTTACTTTGTCATGGGTACGCATGAATCTCTTCTTTCATTTGTAACCAACGCGATTGTGCCTGTGCACTGTCATTCAATCTAAACTTTTCCTCAGCCTTTCTATCACTTGCCATACCATAACCTTATTTTTCTTGTTTAGTGTATGATTACTTCAATGGGCGTCCACACGACGTTATCATGGAGCATCGGAGAAGAGTCAGGAGGCAGATTCATTTGCGAGTACGTCTTCGGGACGCCCACGACCCGCTTGACATTAGCACTGAAGCCTTTGTGGAGCTGTACAGGATGCCCCAGGACATCTTCCTGGAGTTGTTGGAGTTACAGACTCCGTTTGTTCGTCATCGCACTGGGCCCCTGGCAATTCCTCTCTACTTAAGAGTAAGTGTGAGATATTGTTAGAAAATCTTCTTGGATTTCACAGACGACAGCTTATACCTATCTACCCTTAACAGCTGTTTGATGTCATTAAACTGGATACTGAGTTCTCTGTGAATTCCTAGTGTCAGAGTAATCCTTGGGAAATCTCAACAAATTTTTAACAGTTATTGCCGCTCTTGTGTGCACTTACCGTCTTTGCCACTGGTGGCTACCAGGAACATGTGGGAACAAGCATGCACCACCCCATGTCTCAAGCTAGTGTTAGCTATGCTGTTGAAGAAATAACAGCTGCCCTAAACCATCCCCTTGTCCTTACAAGATTTATACATTTTCCTGCCACTCATGCTGAGCGAGTTGCTACGATGGAAAAGTAAGTGCTGAAAGCCTCATTATGTTCATTAGGGCTTGTAAATATTAATGCTATTAATCTATTGTTAAACTTCATTCAAATTTATACATCATCTTCACATATGTCATACAGGCTTACTGCTACTTGTTGGTGTGGTATAGTTGGAATTAATTTTTGCTCTTTTCTATAGGAATGCCCGCAGGGGCCTACTAGGTGTCCTGGGATTAGTTGATGGTACCATCATTCACATCACTCCACCCCCAAGACCAAATCAGCATTATTATTCAAGAAAAGGTTTTACTTCACTGAATGATATGATTGTAAGGCTCTTTATTTTTTTGTTGGGTTTTGTTGATTTTGGTTCAAACCATGTTGACTCAGTTTACTTTTATAGGTATGTGATGTTGATTTAAATAATCTTACTGTCAATGCGCGGTATCCTGGATCTTCTCATGATTCCTATGTTTACAATAATTCAGCACTGCCAGATGTCATGCGGACAGCATTTCGTGAAAGTCACTGTTGGCTACTAGGTTAGTTCATTGATTAGATTAATCTAATATAGTACATGAGTTGCCACATCTCTCTTACTTTTATTTTTGCAGGAGATTCAGGCTATCCCCTGCAACCATGGCTGATGACGCCATTGCCAGGGGCTCCTGAAGGTACACCTGAGTACCACTATACCCAGCTGCATGGAAAAGTAAGGAATGCTGTGGAACGGTGCATTGGTGTACTGAAGGCTAGATGGCGTTGCATTTGCAATGACAATGCTGTTCCATATCGACCTACGAAAAGTGGTCTGATTATAAATGCTTGTGTTGTCCTCCACAACATTCTCACACGCATGAGGCTTCCTGTTCCCATAAACTATCATCAATTTCAAGATGAACCTGATCCTGACAATGTAGTTGACCCTGATGATGTGATTCAGCATCTAGATAATGCAGAAGCAGTCCAAGCGGACCTTGTTGCCCATGCCAACTGGTACAGGAATCGCCACTGAAGTTCTTTATCATTTTTTAGCCCGCCCTTCTGCTTTGAAAAAGCTATCCAGCGGGCTTATGCAAACGACCTCGTGTGTGTCTGTGTGTCTGTCTGTTCCACAAGAAGGAGATGTGCTAGAGACTTCAAATTTTCAGGGGATCTCAAGGTTCACTCCCACAAAACCAAACGCCTACGGCAAATCCTGTCAGCCACCCCTAAGAGGCTTAAAGGGGGTATCAAAGAAAACAGGAAAGGCCCTAAAAGTTGGAAAAAAATATTTTTTTAAGAATCTCCTAAGGGGTAACTTGCGAAAGTAGAGCCCTTTGGGCGAAAATTTCGTCCGTTTTGCTCTATCTCTCACCGTTTGGGCGCCAGAGTGAGTTTCTCTCACAAAAGTGGCCCAAAAATAAATTTATTAATTTTCGAAAATATTGGATGATCTCCGAAGGGGTAACTCGTCAAAGTAGAGCCCTTTGGGCAAAAATTTCGTCCGTTTCGCTCTATCTCTAACTGTTTAGGCGCTAGAGGGTCTTTTTTGACGAAAATAAGCTAAAAATTGCCATAGTGAACAATAAGTTGTAGAAAAAGGCCTAAAAACCGCAAAATAACCACAAAAAACGTTTTCTAAGCAGAAGGGTGGGTTGTAGTCGCGGTGCTTCACCGTTACATCCCTTTCTCGTGTCTACGGGGCAAATTTTAAGGACGACGGGCTTTGCGGGCCGAAGGCCCGTTACATCATTTGATTATGTTCTTCAGCAAATCGCGTGACAGAAATGGTCGGGCCGCAGGCCCGACCATCGCCGCCGGCAGGCCAAGCAGGCCCGGCCCCTGCCGAACGGAGTTGCCGGCGGAGCAAAGCGGAGCTGGCAACTTCGTTTGGCGGAAGGGCGGGCCTGCTTGTTGTTAATTATCTTTTTTTAGGTTCATCTTTTATCACAGCAGGTGTCATGTATTTTATTTATGTTTTCGATTGTTCAGGAACAAGTGTGTTCCTTAGCTCAACTTAGTAGAATGCCATGCATTGTTGCGTGAATATATCATTTCATTGATCAAAAAGTTTGCATTTTTATTTTTAGTTAAATTTGTTACCAATCCTTGCTTTATTGCGGCCATGCTAGTTGTGTGTTAGGCTTCCCTTCTGCTTTGAAAATGCTCGCAAAAGACCTGGTGTCCACCCTACAACAGGTAAAGACTTTTTTGTGTGTGGTAATTTAATTAATCTAAAGTGACTAGCTTGCTTACCTATATCAATTTATTTAACCTTGCTCTACATATGTCAGTGTTTTGGTGTAACTAAAGTTTCAGCTAGTTATGGTGATTGCAACTTTCCTTCAAATTTGGTTTAAAATTATAATTGGAAAAATAGTTTTAGATAAAGCTAGATATTCTAATATTTTCCAATTGCTCTGAAAGTTATTAAACTGTTTGAATTTCAATGAAGGAAGTAGTTTGTTCAGTTCACCATTTTAATTCTTCCCTATAATTTAGTTATAGTCTAAACGATAGGATTGTCACTTCTTTGTTTTTAGTATTGTTTAAACTCAGCCAAAGTACATTTTTAAAGTTTGGTTTAGTGTTGTTCATTCATGACCAGTTGCTCTTCTTAAAGTGCATTTGCTCACTGTATTGCAAGGTATTGTGTTAAGGCCAAGGAACTAAACATTCACACATTATGTTCGGAAAACCTTATTTTCATATTTGTACAAATTGGTCTGTTTGTAGGAATCCTAATTCTTTGAAGAAGCTGTCATCCCTAGTTGATCTTAAACTTGGACATTTTTTATTGACTAAACCCATATGCTAAGCTTTTCCGTATGAGTTCCAAATGTGTATTGATTATTCAACTTTTTTTATGGCATTAAGCTTTGCCCTGTTTAAGTAATTTTTGAATAAAAATTATTCTAATAAATTACTCTTCTTCATGCCAACCATGCTAATCCCCCATGCTAATCATGGTGTCCTTTATGTTCCTTGTAAATAAAACGGATAAGCACCACAGTAGATTGATAAGTTGTGTTAACCTGGCTCATAGATTGTTCTGATTCAGGGCAGAAAGAGAAAGGACTAGTTGACAGTGACTACGACACATCTTGGAAATTGAAGATGAATTTTTTTACTTCGTAAAGCAAAGGACACCATAATTTTTATTTCTTGAAATAGTGAACTGCTCTTTTTGATTAAGGTACTCAGACCTTTAGAAACTAAGTTACTAGAACAATATGAATTATGGTGTCAAATTAAGTTTCTCAATGTTGAGTTTTTTATTTCAGTAACATTTTTGGTGCTTTTAGAATAGCATGCAAGTGTAGACCTTTCCCAAGCTTAGTCTGCCTACATAATTTCATATTGTTAACAAGGCATATCTTAGACCCAAAGGGAACATTACCCAAATTCTTAGTGTGATAATTGATGTCGGAGAATGAATGAGACACCCGTTTAGCTTCCAAATTTGATGGGAAATTTAGGATTGGGATTAGCATGGTTGGCAAGGAATAAGAGTTATTAGTTGGAATAGTTTTTTATTCAAAGAATATTTTAAACATGGCAAGGCTTAATGCCATCAAAATTGTCAAATAAAAAAATATCTGAAACATGGCAAAACTTAATGCCATCAGAAATGTCGAATAATCAAAACACATCTGAAATTCATACGGCAAAGCTTGGCATATAAACAACTAAGTCAAAATAAATATAAATTACTTAGGAAAATGTCGAGAATAAACACATTGCTAGTGCCCTGAACAGTATCAATTAACTAAGCCTAGAGAGTGCCTCGACACTCTCTGCAAATCTTTTAATTATTTCATCCAGGGCACTAGTGTCCAGGTCAAATGCTATGGGTAATGAGTGCACAGTGGCTGTTAAAAGATTAATGGCGTCAGTGAGGTCCTCCTGAAACAGAGGAAATAATTAGTAAAGTAGCGTGACCATTAATGGGTCGTCCGTTTGGCTCTTTCTCTAACCGTTTAGGCGCTAGAGCGTCTTTTTTGACGAAAATTGGCTTAAAATTGCATTAGTGAGCAATAAGTTGTAGAAGAAGGCCCAAAACCTCAAAAGCGGAAAGAGACTCCCCCCCCCC